CCCCAAAACCCCAAAACCCCAAAACCCCAAAACCCCGAATATAGATTTAATTATTGAGAATTATACAATTATAAATATGAGGCCCAACGACCAAAATTATATGACAGATGCATCTGGGAGGATGTCATCAGCAACTCAATATGCAACTCAAAACTCTGAAAGGATGGGAGGAACTGCTTCTTACCCCAGACAAGAAAGGATGAGCTATATGCCGACTGATTATAGCAGAATGAACACAGGAGGAAGTATGGCATACCCTAGCAGCACAGGGTTCAATCAGGCATCATATGATACTGAGTTTAAATCATCAACTAACTTCCAGGCTCCAACACCACAACAATATACAGCAATGGACATGAGAAATAATTTTGAGACTTCTGCACCTGCTTCTTTTGTCCCAAAATCAAAATATTTGAGTACTCTGACTTCTCAAAATACAAGCAAGCCAACAAATATGAGCACGAACTTCCAGAATATGTCTGTACCTCAACCACAGTCTTATGAAAATAAACCAGAGCCAATGAAGTAGGTTTCTTAATCTTATCACAAAAGTTTCTTAAAATTTAATCTTACTGATTCTTGGTTTTAAGAAATTTCAGAAAAGTAGGAAACTCATTTTTATAGATACAGCTCTCCAGCAGATTTTACTCAGATGCCAAGCAACTCGGCTTTAATGCAGAGCTATAACTTAATGAAAATGAGCAGCCAGGTTACGAAGAATCAGGCAGCTGCTCAGTATGCAAAGCAGCAGAGATTCAATAATTATTTCCCTCAGAATGCACAGCAGCCAACACCTCAGCCCCAACCAGATATGAATATGGGCATGTATGGATTACAGAGAATGAACACTACAGGAGGAATGAACTTAGACCAAAAAGATGACAATAACTTTTTGAGTAAGTTTTAACACACAAATCTTTTCATATTTCTAGGCAATATTTCTCCTGCAGATATGGGAATACCTCTAGATGCAGTAGGAATGCAGGGATCTCCACCAAGGCCAAATCCTGCGGAGAATAGGTTTGGATCGCCCAATAGAATGGGATCACCAAATCAGTGACAAAATGATTTTCCTCCTTTTGATGAGGTATTTAAGTCAAAGAAACCAGCTGAAACTTCTGGAAATAATCAGGTTTCTAGTGAAATTCCATTTGACGAAAAACCTGTTGGAGGAGGAAATTCTCAGCCTCCAATGATGCAGCAGAATAACTCCTCGGAACCTTCTCATAATAAGAAGGGTGACACTTTTGCAGTAGATTTTAATTATGTAGAGCAGAATGAGCCCCAGAATGATGAAATTCCAGATGTTTCTACCAACAACCAAACAAAAGCAGCACAAGATCTTCCTCCATTAGACCCAAACGTAGTCAATGTAGATGAAATACAGATTAAGCCAAAGCAGCAGTTGACATTTGAAGAGCTACTGGAAAAAGAACTTAACGACAAAGAGAAAGATGCTAATCCAGCACCTCCAGATGATGACAGAGTAATCAGAAAGCCCAAGAAAGAATTTCTAAAAAGGACCTCTAAAAAGACTACTTTGCCAAAGGAAAAACAGGGTGGCAAGAAGTATAAATACTATGCTGATAATTTTGACAAGAAGAATAACTCAAATGGCAACTCTGGTAGCGAGGTTGAGAAATCTGAATGATCTAAATCAGCCAAACAAGGAAAATGAATGCAAGATAATGAGTCTAAACAGCATGAATCTGTTCAAGAGAACGAAACAAAAACTTTCCTTTCTAAGGGAGCAGGCCTAGGGGGCGGAAAGGGCAAAACAAATGATGATTTGAATGATAATAATGCACAGAAGTCAGAGAATCCTGAGGATGATGACAAGAATCCCACTCCTGATAATTCTGGGAAAAATAGGAGAGGAAGAAAAGCAAGAGGTCCAAATACCAATTCTATCGATGCTCACAATGATAAAGATCCTAAGAACGATAGTCTTGAAGAGTTTGAAGTCCTTGAAGGAAATATCAATAATGATGATAATGTGGAGGATTACGAAGAGATTAAGAAAAATTACCATGCTTCTGGAAGGAAATTTAAACACAAAAAATCCGAAGCACCTTCAGATGTTTCAAAGAGAGGAGGCCACACTAACTCCTCAGTCAATGAAAGTGGAGCTGAGCGGCAAAGACTAGCAAAAGAAAAGAAGGAATTCAAGAAGCAGAAGGAGAAATTTGAAGCCGAAAAATTATCCATAGAGAAGCAAAAATAGAGACCTTGATAAGCAAAAGATTGAATTTGAGAAAACTAAAGAAACCGAGACTAAGAAAATCAACGTTGAACGACAAAAACTTGAGAAGGAAAAGAAGGCATTCCACAGACAAAATGATAAGAAGAAGGAAGACTCAGAACTCACTGAGAATCTGTATAGAGAAATAGATGCTCTTCATGATGAGCTCCGTAAGAAGGACAATAAGGTACATTTTCAAAATTAATCCATTTAGAACATCAAGTTAGAAGACGAAGTTAAAGATTTACATCATTTAGCAAAGGAATATGAGGAAAAGATATTTTACCTTGAAGAACAACTTAAAGAGCTACGTAGTGGAATGAAAACAGAGATGAGGACAGAGGGAAGAAACCAAGCACAGAAAGAGAAGCCCGTACAAAAAATCGAGTCTAAAATCCCCAGAGCGACCAAGCCTTGTGAGGACAAGAGTAAAAATGAGAAACGGAATATTAGAAATACGGCTCAAGAAGAAGTCTCTATTGGGCTCGATGATGAATTCAAGGATTTTGATACAGAAGAAGATGCTGAAAATAATCAAAACAATCCTGAAAATGACCAACAGAATAGTGATGGTGAAGGAGAAGCTCCTGAAATGGATTATGATGATCCTGACAACTACTCCTTGGTCTTCCTAGAGAAATATCATGGAGAGGAGAATGAAAAAGCTGAAATCGTACAGGAATCTGAAGGAACAAAGGGTAAAATTTTCAGACTTTACAGTCATGAGAAAAGAGAGATTCTGTTTACTAATGGTGTAAAGAAGGAAATATTTCCTGACGGATATTCAATTGTCTACTTTGCTAATGACGATATCAAGCAGTCCTATCCTGATGGTAGAACGGTCTACTATTTTGCTGATGCAGGAACAGCACAGACGACTCTTCCTGATGGGTTAAAGATTTATAAGTTCAACAATGACCAAATAGAGAAGCACTACACTGATGGGACCAAGGAAATAATCTTCCCTGATGGTACAGTAAAGTATATCTTTGGAGTCAGTGATGAAGAAAGTATCTTTACTGACGGAACCATTCAAAGATTGACTCCTGACGGCCTCAAGGTGGTCGAGTATCCTTCTGGACAGAAGGATATTGTATATCCTGATGGAACAAAGGAGAGACAATATCCTTCTGGAAAAGTCAAGAAAATGAACCCTGACGGGGTCATTAAGTCTTTTAAAGCAGATGATAATTAGTAAAGATTTTTCAGCAAACTGGTTGTTAAAAGGGGTTTTGGGGTTTTGGGGTTTTGGGGTTTTGGGG